ACGCACTGCGCCATTTGTTGCTATCACTACAAGAACCCTCTGTTGCTATTTTGGTCAGTACACTGTATGGAGTGTGGTCTTGGACTATATTATCTGTAAGGTCACAGAGGCTCATGCCTGAGGGCCTATCCCCACATTGTTCATACAGTAATCATTGTGTATCATTTTTTATGGGTAAACACACTGACACTTTAAAATGTGTGTTTTTTGAAAGTAAAGTAATTCCCTTGAAGATTCCATAGCATGCCCTGGGTCTGCATTGAATTTCCCTAGGTCTCAAGCCTGTAACACCACCACTACCATTGTTGGTGGTACAGTGCTTTACAGGAAACAGGTAGAGCAGTTACAAAACTCCCCTAACACAGCAGTAGTTGATGACATGGGGCCGATATGTACTGTTAGGAAGTGAGACCTTGCTCCCGCTACGCTCTGCATCATGTGACATATGGTCACATGATCATATTTGGTCACACAACATGGGGGGGGGGGCATTTATCAATTCTCCCACATAGGGAGGCTGTGCTAAACAGGAGACAGATTTGAGACAGGTTTATTATGAGGTAGCTTCATTTATTAATGCCCCCTTAGCTGCCCTACAACAAAATGAAACCTAACTCTGATCACTTCTTAATTGTGCATCTCCTACAAGTGAAATTCAGTCTCATCTCCGGTGGTCAGTCTATTGCACATGTGGCAAACCTGCTGTGCCAGTTGGCTGCTTAGGATTACAAGTCACTAATACCCAGTCAAAGTGTTGCATGGACTTTGCACACCGACTATAGCATACAATTTTGCTTCACATGCATCCCTCAGGGTATCTGTATATAGGGCTATGTTGAAATAAAAGAGAACCGTATATATGACTTCTGTGTTTTGGAAGGGGAGGGGCAGCATCCATGATGGGAGGGCTGTGTATGTGGTCACTGTGGACAGAAGATATGTCTGTCCCGTACATCCCCCCACAATCAACAGTTTGCACTTTTGTCCTCTAAATGTCTTGTTCTAGTTTCGTTCTTATTAGTTGCTGTATCCAGGGCCGGTGCTAGGATTCTTGCCTACACAGGCAAGGTGCATTTTTGCGCCCCCCCCCGACCCCGACCCCCTGTAAAAACAGGGCATTCAGCAAAGCACAGTACATATTTTATTGTGGTCTGCCAATGATATTCTTCATCTGAGTATACAGAAATGAAAACTTTTCTCTCCATTTTTCTGACAATAACAGGCGCTTATGAAGTGACAAGGCATATTATGTGAACAGCAAGTCTGTTTGTGGGAAAAAAACGTCTATAGCATGAACAGTCTGTTGTCATTTAAACCTTAAAATCATCAACATTTTGGCTACATGATGCATGATGTACACTACTATTTAAAGTGATATTAAAGTCAATGGGGGGAATTTATCAAAACTGGTGCAGATTTGCAATCAGCTTCTCTCTCATTTTCAAATCTTTCCTGAGCAAACAGAAGAGAGATGCTGATTGGTTGCCCTGGGCAATTGTTCCAGATTCTGTTTGCTCCAATGTTGATATATCCTCCCGTTTGCTTGTAGGTGACCCGCTCAAACTCTACCATCCTGTCCAGTTCACCCATCCAGAGATCTAGCGTGGGGGGAGAGGCTGAAACCCACTTCCGCACCACCAACCTAGATGCTGTAAACAGGGCCCTTTTAATGGCTACCGACGTGTGAGGGGGCAACTCTGGTGCTTCCAGAATACCAAGGAGACAAACCTGGGGGGTATTAACCAAAGCCGATCCAAAGACCGCGTTAACAACCTCCAACACCTTGTTTTATTATAGAATAAATTCAAAATGTAGTAGATCCCATCGCCCTTCTGAGCGGATAAAGCCCAAACGGAAACAGGGGGTACCGAAAGCAACAGCGAATGTCTCCGCACATCAAATGCAAAATACCATAAAGTAGGGATGCACCGAGTGGCAGTATTTGGGCAAGTACTCTTACTCGCCCAAATGCTCCGATGCCTAGCCTGATGCTTCCGGTATCAGGAAGCTGGGCAGCGTGTTATTACACGCTGCCCTGCTTCCTGATTGGCCGGGAAGCCGGCTCCATGCTCTCATCACTTGTGACGAGGGAGCATGGAGCCGACTTCCCGGCTAATGAAGAAGCCAGGCAGCGTGTAATGATGCTCTGCCCGGCTTCCTGATTGGTCGGAAGCTGGCCAATCAGGAACCCAGGCACTGTGTAATGATGCAGCACCCGGCTGATTGCTAGTGACGAGAAGCATGGGGACGGCTTCCCGAAATACCGGTATCGGTACATCCCTACCATAAAGTCACTCGCACTCCGTTTGTAGATAGCAGTCAATCTCCTTTATTGACTGAACATGATGTCACATACACAAAGCGACGTTTCAGGACCAGGCAGTCCTTTCCTCAGGCAAACAATAGTGTTGATTGCCTGAAGGAACTGCCTGGTCCTGAAACGTCGCTTTGTGTATGTGACATCATGTTCAGTCAATAAAGGAGATTGACTGCTATCTACAAAAGGAGTGCGAGGGACTTTATGGTATTTTGTTTTTTTTATAGAACACATACCACCTAATGGATTATTTCAATCCTGTCCAAAGAAAAAAAAGGGAGTATGCTGCTTTTTTTTTTTTTTTTAAAGACAGAATTGAAATAATGACCTGTTGTGATCCCTGATTTCCTGTAGATTCTCTTTTATTCAAAGAAGAGTCAAGTGGCTACAGTAAAAGCAATAACAGTGAATCAGGATTATTTACTACGTCAAACATGGTTACCCATAGCAGCTGATCAGAATTGATCTTTCAGAGATTTCAATACAATAAGAAGGCCTTGCAGTATGTTACTGGAAACAGCCTGAATGTGACAATCTGTATCAGTTGATGAAACTGCAGTCAGCCTAATGCATTGTCATGAAGAAGCAAACACTGCCATCTAGTGGAGAATATTTATATTTATAATAAGGTTTCTTTAATGTATAGATCCTGCAATATTTCACACAGCGTATTGAAAATGTTTCTCTCCCATGCAAGCTAACCTACTACAGTTTCAATATTTTTTGGAAGGTAGGTTGCACTGATAAACTGGGTATAGATAGAATACAAGTGAAATTTACAATCTGCCCACATACACTATAACCTAACTGTATAATCTCCTATAAATTGTAAGCTTTTCCAACTTCTGTATCATTCCCTCCTTATAGGTTCACAACACATGCATTGTACAATCTCCTATAAAGTTACCAACAACTAGGCAATACTTGATTGGATATAGATGGAACAGAGGTTTTAGACTAGCCTTGGCACTACATAGTGAACAAATGGAATAAGCTACAATATCTGTACATTTAGAATTATATGTGTGCAGCTGCCTTTATAGCATAAGAGATTGCTAGCTCTTCTGTATCATTCCCTTATAAACAGGGTCGGACAAATCTCAGGAGCCAGGCCGCCGATGCTCCTTAAAAATTAGTCAGCACCTAACTTTTGAGGTTTTCTCTAATTGTTGTCAATGGAGCTGATCTTAAACATTTCCTGCTGGCTCCTGGAATTGGACAGACTGGCTTCTGATTTCCATATTCATTTGTCTACCCCTGCTTTATAACCTACAGGTACCCCGGCTTTCATTGCAAATGGATTGTACAAAACAATATTGTGATGTGTTTTTCGCAGAAAAAAGCAGTTTAGAACTATATGAGGAACGTTCTCTATGGCATTGGGTGTGCGTCGTCATGGCTACCATTCAGAGTTATTTTTTGCATTTGTAGTTGGGAACTGGGGTGCCCGACGAGGTCCAACTGTAGGTGGCAAGTGAAAACGATGGGAGGTAGGATTTCCTTTGGTCTACAGTACTTCTCTGTAAGTAACAATTACAACATTCATTATTATTTATGTATATATGAATTTACTGATCATAAATGTTTAATTAATACAAATATCAGATATGCATTCCACTCTCTATCCCGATGAAGCAAACTTTGAGCTTCTCACAGTGTGCATTAGAAGCTGCAGCAAGTGAGATAAAGATTTCCTGGCTGACAGACATCCAGCATCATCTAAATCTTTGCTCCCCAGCCAGACTGTGCCTAGTCTTCTTTTATTCATTGGATTTCAGTTCTTCGAAATGATGGAGGCTCAGAATAACATGTGCAAATTACCTAGGGAGGTCTGCAGCCTGCCTAGCAATGCCCAGTCCTCCAGACTGACATCCACCCATCAATGCCTTTTCATATTAGTATAACTCCGCCCAGGAGCCAGCCCATTGCTTGTATAAGGGATGAGGGCTCTTGAGGAATACTGAGGTAAGGTGCCGTGATGGTTTTTAGGAAGCTATGTACACCACCCTACCAGCCCCTCCCACCAGCCATGATCTACTGGTATTGCAAAGAGAAGCACAGAGATACAGGGATCTTCAAGGCATACATTGAAAATGGAAAGATTTAAAAAAAATTGCATATTGATAAGGGTGGCAGGGAGGGACCAGGGAAGGCCAAAAAATAGGCAGATAAAAATTATAGTGTTTACGTTGCTTTTTATGCCTAATTTCTTTAACTCGCAGTGCCATCTGCTGGTGAACTCTGGTATTGTGTCACAACCAGAAATCACTGCATTTCACTATTCTGCCCTTGGTGGGTGCAGTTATTTAGAGTGGACAATCTCACTGTTGCTGCACAAAGTGCTCCTAATCAAAATCGGGGATTTTTATCTTTCCTGGAAATCAAAAGAGAGAAGTAAACCAACGAGACAAGTACCAGACCTTACATTGAAATATTTATTTCTGGTGTGTGAACAATAACAAAGAAATATACATCAGACTCTCCACGTATATATTATACAGACTATACAGTTGCAAAAATATTTTGTATACATATATAGTTTTTAAAAATCACATAATATTTTATAAAAATGCAAAAATGCATAAAAATAGTGTTAGAAAAATATGGACATTCTCCTGGGAAAATGACTATACAGTTTACACACACACACACACACACACACACACACCTTCCTTCCAGGATTGTACTGTCACTTGTCAGCAATCAGCACCGGGCACTATCCCAGCAGTAATGACACATTTATACAGGGCGGACTATGTCCAGGATCATGCGTTGTCATCTGCACCTTCCTTCTTGCTCATGTTTATTTCTTTGGAATTGATGATTTCCCAAGGTCCAGGTTCTGGTGTCTGTTTTCCATACCACGTGCCAAACCTGATAAAACAAGATTGCACAATTAGCCAGCGTGTGCTTCAGTGTGAGAGGCACAGCAAACAACTTACAGCAATGCCAGCAACAAACACGCTGACCTTTCAGAGCTGCTGTACAATTTTTTACATGAGAAAAAGTAAATATTTATGTATGAAAAAAAACCCAACATCTATAGACCTCTTAGTTTTTGACCATAGATACCTTTTTAATCTCCAATATGTATTTCTATATTGAATTTCCATAAGTTCTATCCCACTGCTAATAAACATATCAATCTAGAAGTTTGTAAACTTACTTATTGAAGATGCCCATAGGATGTACTTCCTCAATGCAGTGACACAATTCACTCAGCCCTGTGACTATGCACTTCACAAATCTCACAGAGCTGCCTTCTGAACTGCAACTCAACGTCTGAACAATGTGACATTATCACTGCTTGCTGGAAGCAATGCATGATGGGATATGTAGTCCTGAGAAAATGAGATTTCATCACATTAAGCAGCAGGGAAATAGATGCAGAGCACACTGGGAATCCAGGAAGTTTATTTACTGGTTAGTGCTTCATAAACTTGATTTATTTAGGGCCAATGCAAAAGAGTTGTCACTTGACAGCAAGTGAAAAAAAATGAATGAGGTTACTTTATTTTTACTACGGTAATCTCCATGCCTTCACTACAGGATGCCAGATAATTCAGGATTACAAGCTAGCCTTTGCTCCCATGAGCAGTTTGGTTTTTAGAGATCAGGGTTGACTGGGAGGAATAGGGGGAGCTGCAAATACACATTACAGGCATGTATGGCAACTGCGCAAAACTGTTTAAAGTAAATTTGTTATGAAAGAAATACATTGGCAGGTACTGAGCGTTCCAAAAACTGCTGGTTGCCTGTGGCTGTCTATACTGACCTACTGGCTTTCTGAGTCACTGACCTTGAGCTGCGGAACTCCTTAGATTAAAATTTGTGATTTTCCGCACAAAAAGGGATTGCTGTAAAGCCCAGTCCCCCAGTAAAGCCCAGTCCCCCATCAAAACATACTCCCTTTCCATCACTCCCCTTCTGCTTCATTCAGCCACCAGGAGCAAAGAGAATACCAGTTACTTCCAGGTATGGAGCAGCATTAACTGACTCATTCCACTTCTGTGACAGTGCTGGTGCTTGGCCCAGCCTTGTCCAATAGAGACAGGGTAACAGTCAGTCTTATGTGAGCTCCAACTAGAGATCAGTAGACATGAGCTTCATTTCGTTCCGAATTGAAATTCAGACGAATTTATTTAAAATTAGGACATTCGGATGCATCTGAATCTCAGAATTTGAATACATCCGAAAGTTTGGAAGCAAACACTTCGGAATGGCAACAATAACGAATTAGAACGTATCCAAAATGTTTTGATAACAAAAATTTGGATGCATCCGAATGTAATTCAGAATGAACTGATGTGTTGTGAAAAAGAAAAAAGAAAAAAAAGAACAGCTTGGGGTCCCCCCAAATTCATTCCCAGACCCTTTAGGTCTGATAGGAATTTTAGGTGGGGCACCATGCCAAAAAAAAAACAAAAACTTGGGGTCCCCCCTAAAATCCCTTACTAATATTCTTATTCATGTGAAAGGGACTTACAAGCTCCTGATTTTTGATTCAGGGGGCTTGGAATCCACACAGTCAGTGGCTGTCATCTGGCTCCATGAACCATCTTCCTCATCACTGTAGAAAAAAAACAAAAAAGGAAATTCAATTTGAGGCTTGAAAATAAAATGACAACATAATGGAAATATTGCTGAGATAGTACACCAATCATCACAGTTAAAGCATTTCATACTTTCAGCAAGTGAATATTCAGTGCCTAAAAAATGGCCGTACAGGAAGTAGAATTTTATTCCAAAATGTTAGTTTTCAGAAGGTTTGTTCAATTTTCTAATGCTCAGTGGGGGCCTAATTGACATTTGTTTTTGGCTGCAGTGGCAAGAACCATCAAAGGAGCAGGATGGAAGTTTTTGTACATTGTAATGTGCTAGGCACAAAAGAAACTTGATTATGTCCAGGATTCCCTTCAAATACCAGACGTGCATGAAATTTAAGGGCTTTCCAACAAAAATAGTTGACTCCATGATGGCAAGATCGAATGTTCTGACCAATAATTGTAAATTACATTTGCACGAAATTGCCTGATATTGTATTCAAAGTAAAGATCTGCAGTTTAGACACCAGGGGGAGCTCTCTGGCTGATATAGCAGCAGTTGTTAAAGGATAACTATGAGGTGAGTGCTTTTCACTAACCTCATAGTTCTAGCCGACCTGTGACAATGAGACTGTCACAGGTCGGCTCAGTAGATCAGGAGGTGAGCGAACACATACCGGCGTTCGCTCACTTCTCCATCCTGTCACAGCTCTCTGCCGTGACAGGGGAGGGGCTGGATTCCCCCCTCCCCGCTCCGTCAGCGCTGACTGGCGGAACGGACGGGGAGGGGGCGGGTACAGCAGGCTCTGCCTCTAGATAGGCAGAGCCAGCTGTCAGTCACGCAGCAGGGGGGCGGATCCCGGCACAATTGTCGGGATCTGCTTCAGCTGCGGCGTCTCAGTATACCGCAAGCAATAGCTTGCGGTATACAGCGGCGTCTCAGTATACCGCGAGCTACAGCTCGCGGTATACTGAGCATAGGGTGACGGGAGGACGCTAGTTTGTGTCCTCCCGTTACCCTAAGGAGAACAATGGGGAAAAGCCTTAACCCCATAGTTCTCCTTTAATCAGGAAGCATATTGATTGCACACTCGGGGAGTTTGTTGTTTTTATAAACTTGCAAAAATAAGTAAAGGATTACAAATACCCTTTAAAACGTACATCGGTTATGGATTACAAAGTTGGTGTCCAACTGAAAATCCTCTCTTAAAACAACTGTCACTGGAACAACTGTACACGCTGCAAGATTTCCCCTCTATTCCTGTGCTAGTGGCAATTCAAAAAGGTTTTGGCTTTCACTACAAAAAGAAAAAGGACAGTTTGTTGCGTTCAAACACGATCTAATACTAGTCATTAAAAAGGAGAACTATGGGGTCAGTGCTTTTCCCCATAGTTCTCCTTAGGGTTATGGGAGGACACAAACTAGCGTCCTCCAGTCACCCAAAGCTCAGTATGTCTGGATCCACCCAGCTGCGTGAGTTCGGGGATAGATCGAGAAGTGAGCAGGCGCCGGTATGTGTTTGCTCACTTCCCGATCTACTGAGCCAACCTGTGACAGTTTCATGGTCACAGGTCGGCTCAGATTATGAGGCTGAGTGAAAATCACTCACCTCATAATTCTCCTTTAACTACTTCTGCTTTCACAGGTTTACCCCCTTTTAATGACGGGTTCATAAAGGTTTCAGTGGTGTCCAGTGCAGTGTTTGTTCTATGCTATAGTGTTTCAAGAAGTCCTCTCTGCATAATGCTGCAGAGAACACCCCGAGATTGATGATGAGACCAGCTACATGACTGACAGGTCACATGATGCGGTTCTCCACCTCCTAGCTTATTTTCTTTTAAAATTTGAAAGCGCCAAAACACATTTAGAAAACACAGCACTGTACTTTATGAATGTGCGGGGGTTTGTTTTTGCTTTCTTTACATTTTAAGCACTGCTATGTCCGTGGTAATGCAAAACTGCTGCTTATATATGGGGTCCGCAGTGCAATTTGCACACTGCATTCATGCCTCCTGAACCGACACATTAACCTCTAACAAACAGTGAAACAAAAAAGGAGGAAAAGTAAGTACTTTGTAAATAAAGACGAAGGCTCGGACGCACCTGCTGGTTGGAGATTCCACAATTCCCAGCATTTTGGCTTTAATCTTCTTCCTTTGTTTCCTGATGGCAGACTTCATGCCACACAATAAGAGCGTTGGGATCCTCTCATCATTCAGCAACTCCCTTTAAAACAAAGAAAAATGAGTGTTCACAAGTCTTCCAAAGTTGTCTGAGTTTCTGTGGTATCTTCAATGGAACGGTCCGGAAGAAATATAGTACCTGCCATTGTCAATTTTTTATTTTCTTTCAAGTATGTTTTCTAATATTAATTATACACGGCCATACTGAGTAATATTACAGACCAATTGCATTCATACAGAGACATTCTGTATGTCTCTGTATGAGAGTTTCGAATTTAAGAACTGGATGACCAAATATAGTAAAAAAACATACAAAATAACCATACTATCAGTAATGTGATTTCTTGGTTGAACCTAAAGCTAGCCATACGTGGCTACATCTCCCTCTGAAAGAGAGAAATCTCTCAATTCCCTAAACGTGGATGGAGGAATCTCCTTTGCCAGCTATTGTATTCACACAGCCACCGACACCTACAGTTTTTTGAACATGTGAACAATGATTGAGTTAATTGGATGCCGTCCATTTTCGGTCAACAATTTTAAATTTACAGCTTGACTTATCAGATTCAACAGTTAATCAGCCAAAATTAAAGCTTCAAAATGAATGAAATCTAGATAATAGATCTTGCTGCATTACATTGTATTTATTAAATGCAGGTTAGCAGGGAGGGAAGTCTGCTTTAAATCGACAAAAACAGAGAAGCAAAGAAAAGTAGAAGGAGGGAAGGAAGGAAAAGAACAGAAAAAAAGGGGGGGGGGGATATCTGTGTAATATACTCAGAGGGCTCATGCCGATTTTATTTTTGAAAAGTGCATACTCCAACACTTTAATCTTCATTCTTCCTTTAACACTTGCCAAGTCAAGGACCTGGAACAAAACAGGTACTCATCAAAGGCTTGGGCTATAGCAAAGCAGAGGTTTGTTTCAGGTCAGTCACTCGCCAATCAGTTAAGCAAGGTAAAAGTTGATAGGATCAGAGTGTGCACCTTTAAAAGAGAGATTTCACTTTCTCACGAAATGCAAGAAAAATAAATTTACCCACACAAATCTGCCATGTCTCCCCACCACCGCTGGTCATACCTTTGAGTGGAACCACTACCTCCACCCCCACCAGCCGATGTCCAGTCCCTACACTGAGCATCTAGCATAACACTCGCAAATGGTGAGCATTCTTGAAGAATCTCTTGTCAATGGTCCCCACAGTCGCCTGATCAATGAGTGCTTCCCATTTGTGAGCATTATGCTAGATGCTCAGTGCAGTGTAATGTTACTTACACTTTGAATTACCCTTTCAAAAAACAAGTCAGCAATAACAGCTCCTCTATCAATATCCTGACAGCTTGTACACCAACAATCTAGCATCATTGTTTTATTATGCGCTTTGGTAATCTTAAGACTTCAGTGTTATCTCTGTGCCAACCAGAGAAAGAAAAAACATTGCTTGGTTGACAAAGACTGCAGCAATAATGTTATTCTGTGAATTTTATTGAAAGGCTGCACTTAACATTTACCTTTGATAGTATTTTAACTCTTCATTCACCAGAAATAGGTTGGTTTTTAGCTCATTCCTCTCCTGGACAATCTGCTTAACATCTTCCTTGGTGAAGCACATCTGACTTGATGTGGACTCATTTACATTATCTTCCTGTGACTTGCAGTCAGTTGTATTCTGGAATAGGGATAATAAGAGTCACAAGCTGGCAGTGCATGAGCTACAAATCAAGAGCAATAGAGACAGGAAGGAAGAAACACTCAAACAAAGTAAAGGCAAAACACGCAATATATGTAGTTGTGCATTCCAAACTTTGCATTCTAAAGTTAAACACATGAAGATCTGGAAGTAGCTTACATTAGCTTGTTACCAGTAGACAATAATCGGCAGCTGATCTGCATCATCCTCTGACCCTTTTCATCACCAAAGCAATCAAAACTAAAGACTGTATGATTCAGGTGCACAACACCCATATCATAAAATAGCAGCTGATTGTGACTGTTTACATCTGTACTGCCTTATATTACTCTAGAATGAATCATACTAGGTCATCCTGCCAGGGATTTATGAGGAATGTTGGAAAACCAGTTGGAGAGGATACATTCCAAGAATTGATGGGGGGATTCCCAAATACCTCGAAGAAATAACTCTAGAAGAATAAAAAAACACAACATGCTTTTACTTCCAGTGTTAGATGGGGGTCACTCAACACTATTCTGGAGCAATGCATTTAACACTGTTTGCTTGAACCCACTGTGTCCCCCCTCATTCCAAAAGACATTGCCTTATTTATTAAAGCAGAACAAAGAGCTCTAATAGACACACGACAGGTTCCCTTCAATGCACTTTGTATAATGGGCATGCAGTATAAAAGCAGGCACCACTAGGCCCTCATTTTTCATTGCACCAAGGGATCCCCACAATCTCAGACCTATGCTGTGCAGAGGTTTCAACTGCAGCTCCAAGGCAGGGTTGGAAGTTGGGTATTTGTGGGTTAACTTGTAAGGGTTTGATTCAGTTCAACATCATTTTCATGGTTTGGTTAAAGCCCAACTACAGGCATATGAAAAGAATTAAAACATTTTTTGAACTTGTGATAATGTTGATCAACCAGTCCAAGTTTGTCAGTCAAGGGATAGACACACCAATGTACCCCGCCTGATCAGTGTGAGTGTTACAGCCATTTTAGCAGAGATCAGCTGAAGGAAGGACATGCCCGCTTTGAGTAGGCAAAATCATGGGTGATGTTCACTATGGGAGAAGCAGCAGATGGCATAACTCTCGGAAATGATGCATTAGCTCCTGCAAACATCAATCAGGAATCCGTAGCAGAGGTGCATGGCCTGATAACTAACTACATTTGTATATGCTTACTGCGGCAAGAATGACTTTCATGGGATTTCCTGGCACATATGTAAAAAACAGACACATGCTGCTTTTAGTTGCACTTTAGATGTTATGGGTAGAATAAGGTTTCATTTTTAGGGTTAGGTCAAGTTGAATGGACTAAGATTGGAGTCTGGGGTCATGGGTGCTCACATTTGTTTTTGGCAGTTCTCAGCACTGAAAATGAATGTAAAAGTTGGGAGCATATGACAGATTACCTTTAACCCAAAGCAACCAGTTTTCAATTCTCTGCGCTCTAAACAAAATGGTTTACTGATTAAATGCTGTGCTGCTTACAATTTGAAAAGTAAAGAGCATATAAGAGAAAAAAATAAAATTTAAAAAAAAAAAAAGTGTCCGTCAGCCCCCCACCCCCGATACACAGAGTGTTTCAGACATTTGTACTTCAGAATAGACATGTTGCAGTGGCAGTTATTGGAAAACATGAAATCCAAGCAGCGCCACATACCATGTTTTTATCAGGAACTGCTTGAGGCGTTAACAGTTTATGAGTCAGGGAGTCCATGTCTTTCTGCTTTGCTTGTAATAAGCCTTCCAGTTCAGTTTTCCTCTGCAGGGAGCTCTTCAGCTGGGTGTTCACCACAGCCATTTTACGGCGTAGATCTTCGTTCACGTTCATAACACGATTCAACTGCTCCTGAAGCTGTGAGGAAGAAGAAA